TAAGATCACCACCAAGGAATTACTTGTAGCTAAGTATGAGACGTGTATAATAAGTGGTATTTGAGTATTTTGGGTGAGTGGTGCTAATCTTGTACTCATATACTTATAATATACATAAGTTCTAAATAACTAACTTTGTTGTTGCCCTTCTGCTGTGATTCCATGACTATTTCACTATCGAAATACTTGCATCAGATAATTGATCACAAGCTTATTTGAAAGAGATTCCCTATATTTCAGGAACATGCCAGACTTTGGACTTTGAAGTGCAAATTCATACGTAAAAGTTTCAACTTCCCAACAATTTACTGCTCAAGTTTTAGCCAACATAGACAGACATGTGATGAGAATGTTTGTGCTCTTTATTTCATCTACTATACTTATGACTTCTATTATGGATTCTATTGGCAAGCCAATCCCTTATTCTGCACATTAATGCCGATATATAGTAATGCCCAATTTCGTACAGTCAGATGGTCACAGTGCATTCAATGAGAACATTAAAAATAAAAATTACTTCCCCAAACTTTTGGTCTTTAATTTGCCAAATTAAATGCTTACCTAATTTATTCACAACTAACACATGACATGACGAAAAATTCAAAGATGAATTAAAGGTGCACACAAGGATAAATGCTTGTGAACTGCTGTAGTATTGCCATGCTACGTACATCAAAGTTTAAATCTTATACACTTATAAAAGTTTGTAGAATGTTAAAACATTTTTTCCTCAAAATATCCTTTAACACATCCGTACATACATACATGCACACATATATAATATAATAATTGTTGTTGTCTAATACCAATTGTTGTTGAAAACCGTGTCGAGGAACCAAACCAAACGCCGATCAAAGGGCCAAAACCAACCAAAATCAATGCACAAACAAAACACCAACTTTAACGTGGTTCGGCAAGTTGCCTACGTCCACGGGGCAAGGGGGGATGATGTTTTCACTCTTTTTGTGCTCCAAATATCCCCTAATTAATGCTTAATCAAAGCTCAATCAAAGCCTTAAACAAAGCCAAAGAAACCCTAAAAAACGTGTCTCTATTTATAAAAAAACACAATCCCAAACTGATTGGGATTCTAAAAATGAGTCTGCCACACCCTGGTGTGGCACACACCACACCCATGGCAAACATGACAGATTTTACCACACCAGGGTGTGGTGGAGCCTGTTTTGCTCATTCTTCATGTTTTTCTCAATTCCTTTCTCAATTCTTTCGCCGTTTTCATAATTCTCCACCTCGGCGAAGTTTTTTTAAATCTGAGCCGACACCAACCAAACCAAATGTCCCACTTGTTACGTCCAGGACGTCGTGGAAACCCTTCACGACAACGGACTCAATTCACAACAAGTCGAGACCCAAATGAGAATGTGAACACTCTCCAAATGTCGATGTCTACTCACCAAATCGGTTGCATCATAAATGACTGCCTACGTATCCTCTTGCCTAAGGAATTAAACCTTCACGTAGTTCACCAAAACGGCCTCCAAAGGCCCTCAATTAAATAGAAAAGTTTGTAACTCTTCCCCAATATCACCAACGGATCTGCAACTGATAGCGGCCCCAAACTAATACAAATCAAACGCCTCCATCTGAGGTGAACCAATGGCCGTATCCAAATCATGTCCACCAGCTGCAACCGAATCCAAAACCAATCCATCATCTGCATCCGAAATCAAATAATCCCCAACCTGTGCCACCTCAGCTGGAATCCCAAATGACGGAGTATGATCTGGAGTATGTGAAATAAGTTCCACCCAACGTGAAATAGCATCACCCTCCACCTGCTGCGATATCCAAATGACCTGATCAACACTCTCCACCTGCGGAGAGTCAAAAGTGACATTCAAATGAGCCTCCGAATCCCAAACGCGCAATCAGATCAAATCTCACATTCTCGATGTGACCAAATGCTGAGTAACCAAATATCCGACGCCAACCAAAATCTGAAGCAGCTCCACCAGATCCAATAACTCCTAATGCAGCAGTTGGCAACCTATGACTAAGATGACTCAAATATGTCGAAACTCCAGAACCAGAACCAATGCTCGACAACCAACGCCAATCCTCCTCCAGAAAGGAACGACCAATCGAAACTGTCATCTCATCTCGTCGCCCCAAAGTTTCCACATCAATAAAGTGTTTCAAGTTGCCATGAGCTCGGCACAAACGCAAGAAAGGACCCCTACCAAAGCTAGAACAACGAGTTACCTTTCTATCAATACACTTCTTCCAATTGTTATTGACTTCTAGGACTTTACACCAACGGGAACTGGTCGTGACCCAATAATGCCTAGAATAATCACCAACTGCGAAAACTACAAAACGATTACCTCCCAATGATGCCTCCTTGGAAGGCCCCCAAATGCCTGACTAAACACCTTCTAAAAGACCCCTCGCTCGATGGATAGAAGTGCCTAACTCCACCACGGTCTTGCTCATCCCAATGTGCTCAAAGGACTTCCATCTGCAGGTCAAAACACTTATCAACAACCTATGCACGGCATTACCAATCAAATAACCCAGCATCAAACAACGCCACAGTCTAGCCGAATCTGATAAAGTCGTCAGCTTCCTATCAATCATCGTGCTTCTAAGCAAATAATACAAATTGCTCCTTCTGACACCCTTCATCACAATCATGGACCCCAATGTGACCTTCAAACGTGCATCCACCAAGGTCACCCTATTGCCTGCTGCCTCCAAAGCTCCAAGTAAAATGATGTTCTTCTTCAACTGAGGAACGAACATCACTCCAACCAACTCCTGAATCAATCCGTTACTCATCCTAATCCGAACGGTGTCAATACCACCAATAGGGCATTCATGATCATTACCTATGAACACGAAATTCCCTCTTTCCAACTCCTGAAAGCTAGAGAACCAATCCCTCTTAGGGAAAATGTGGTATGTAGTACCCGAGTCCAACATCCACTTTGTAGAGTAGGTAACACAAACTGACGACAGTGCAGATAATGAGTAGCCCGAAGAATCTGAATCTGAATCGCTGCCACTAGCCTTGACAACATTTACCTCTGAAGCCTGAATAGCTTTCCCCTTATTCTTCCCGGCTTGATCATTTAACTTTGGGCATTCAGCTACCTCTGAAGCCTGAATAGCTTTCCCCTTATTCTTCCCGGCTTGATCATTTAACTTTGGGCATTCAGCTTTCCAATGTCCATCTTCTTTATAAAAAGCACATTGATTCCTACGAATTCCAAGATGTGCCCCTCTAGACTGTGACCTTCTACCTCGGTTTGGACCCTTTGCTCTTGCAACCAATACCCCTGCTACCGGCTTAATAGAAGTCTCATTGTCCTTCTTCCTAAGTTGGTAATTCACTAATGCAGCGATGACCTCACTATATGAAAGAGATGCCTTCCCATTAATAAGAGTAAAGACAAACGTCTCATATTTCTCGTCGGGTAAGGAACTCAACAATAGCAACGTCTTATCCTCATCTTCAACAATGACATCTATATTCGCCAAATCTGCAATAAGCTTCGTGTAGTGAATCATGTGATCACTAATGGATGTCCTATTCTTCAATTGGAAGAGATAAAGCCTCCTCTTCAAATGCAAGCGGTTTTCGACGCTCTTCGTCAAGTACTTGCTCTCTAGGGCTTCCTAAATCTTCTTAGCTGAAGTCTCATTCATCACATCATATTTTAGATCTTGAGTGAGACAAGACCTAATCACACCACTCATCACATCATATTTTAGATCTTGAGTGAGACAAGACCTAATCACACCACACGCTGTCCGATTCATCTCTTTCCAAACCTTCTCATCAACGTTGTCCGGTTTCCCGTCCAACTCCAACGTATCTTCCAAATTCTGCGCATTGAGTGCATCCAAGACTTCGCATCGCCACAGTTCAAAATTGTTAGTGCCATTGAACTTCTCCACGTCAATCTTCATCGAGTGGATACTCAAATTTTGGATAGCCTTCACACCTAAAGAACCACCCTTAACTCCCTTTTTCTCGGCCATAATCCTCAACACACCAACAAC